ATATTTACATTACCACAGTGAGATGATTTTAGTCTCATGAACAACATCAGCTAATTGTTATTTACTAACTAATCTTGAAGCCCAACAATCATGTTTCAGTCCTGTGGTCTCAGCCTCAGATACTCAGCTGATCTCATAAAAAACAAAAAAAACAAAAAAACATTTCTTCTCCTTCATTTCTGTCACACAGCTGTATGAAACGTTTCCAGCTGTTAGTATCATGGTTGCTAGGCAACCTGAGCAGCGCGACGGAGGCCAGACCGTCCCATTTCACAAGCCTCGTTCTTCTGGCCTTCTCGCTCTCCAGAGTACCCGCCCCACGTAGTCTGCGAAGTGAGGGTACTGTGAAGTGTGCGGCTGCTGGATTGGGACACAGCTTGAGTTATCAGGAGGAATCAGGAGCAGAGGGGAGGGGCAAGGGGGAGGAGTTACCTTGAGGGTGAGGACGTGCAGGTATCCGTTGGTGCCTGTGAGCAGCAGAGCGCCTCCTTCAGGACACACGGAGAACTCCTTCACTCGAGCTTCATTCAGACCTGATGACAAACAAACACGCTCTTAATTTGAAATCCCGGGAACCTCCTCCTCCTCCTCCTCCCGACCTCTGACCCCGCCTCACCTCTGACGGTGTGCACAGGTGAGACGCGGCCCTCCATCATGTCGTACAGGTAGAACATCTTGTTCTTGAGGCTGGTGGCGATCACCGTCTCTCCGTCCACGCTGAACTGCGCCTTGTGGACGGGGAAGCGCTCCAGGTGGATGCTCTGGATCTTCGGGTTCGTCTTCCCGTCCACCTGAAGAGGAGGAAGGTCAAAATCACGTGACCCCTCCCACCTGAGCCTAACACCTGAGCAGAGAGGCTCGACCGTACCTGGAACAGGGAGACGGACTGGTCGAGGCCGGCCGTCATGACGACTTGAGCGCTGGGGTGGAACTGGACGGTGGTCAGCCTGTCCTCAGACGGACGGGCGCTGTTGGCGTGGAGACACTTCTTCACCTGATCACGAACGCAGAGACGACAGGAAGTCAGACCTGACGTTTTAACGAGTGCTCGTCTGTGTGTGTTTATAACAAATGACAGCATCAAACTTCACCTGTGAGCTACAGAACATAAATCAGCTGTTTTTCTAATGGAGTCTGGCAGGAAGCACGCCACAGGTCTTTACATGAAGCCTTCAGCTTCAGTCTGAGGACAGGGTGTTGCATCGACAACC